AATTTCAGGTTTGGATTTCTAAATACCTTGTTGTTCTTTCGCTTAGGGTACGAGACGGTAAATATACTGAGTTTGGGTTTGTCTGATTGCGTCAAAAGAGGAGTTATCTGGTCCTCCGAAACTGGATCGGAACCTTCGGTCGACGCCGCTAATTCCACCACATGAGACCGTTCTCTTTCTACTAAACTCACTCCTTCGCCACCGCCATCAATAACCGTGGAATCCATCTCTTTTACATGCGAGAGAAACCCTAACACTTCTCAAAATTGATCGAACTAGGTCAATACACAACCAACAAGAGCACAAGATCTCCAGACAAAATCTACAAGACCAATAGAGATAGTCCTAGCCCCGGCGCATCGAGAGAAGAAGAAGAAGAAGACGATGATTGCTCCGATTTGTCAATGCGTGAAAACTGAGAGTTACATGCCAACGGTCAACCGAGCAGCCAATGTCTATGCAAATCCCATCATCCTTGTTGGCGGATCCTGGTTGGTGCACTCCCGCACATTTTTTGTGTAAAAAAATTGGTTGGTGGTTGTTATTTAAACAATTAAACGGATGTAAATTAATAAAAAATAATTATTAGTAGATATTAGAGTAGATTATGATTTTGGTCCATGTGGTTAGCAATAGTCTGCACTTTGGGCCCAAATATTCAAAAAATTTGCGGCTCATTTTTCATGGTTTGAAATTTTTGCACGCCTAATCCTTTTTCCCATTAAGCACACTATATTATGATAGGTAAAGTGACTGATCTACCCTTAATATATCTTTTTTTTTCTTTGTTTTGTCATCAGATCCTACTAATTAGATCTCAGATTTTCTTAAAGAACCCCTTATTAATGATTTTTTAGGTATAAATTTCTGTACATTTATAATATTAATAGCTTTTATGATTACTAAAAGTTAATTTTTTTTTAAACTCGTATTTATCATTTAATTCCTATAAACTTTTTATTTATTATATATTTTATTTTTTTATAATCAAATAATAATACAAACATGTCAATGTTTTCTATATATTTTAATATTTTTTATATTTTAATATTTATATAAACCAAAAAATTAAAATAAAATGATATTAAATATTTAAATGAAAACTAAGTAATATTATTATATCGTATTTATTATGCTTTCGTATAAAAATGATTTTAATAAATTGCACTAAAAACCGAAAATAATTTAAATTTTTTTGTTTAAAATATTTTATTTTGTATATTTGAAAAAAAATAAGTATATTTTTATTTTAATACTTATTTATAAAAATAATATTCTTTTTCTATAAACAAATCTTTATATTAAGCCATTTTATTATGTAATAATTAGTTTTATTTAAAGTAAAATATAAATAATCATGAGGGTGTAATATTATGTAATAATAATTAATAAAAAGATAATTATTTGGTAATGATTAGCTTATTTTAAGAAAAAAGTTAAAGTAATTATTAAGGAGTTCTTTAAGAAGATAAAAATGATCCAAATAGTTGAACCCTTTGTCATTATATGAACTACATATATTATTTCTGTAAAATATGAAAGAAATAACATTTGTCTTGTTTGAAAGAATTGGTGATCAAGTTAGTCACCATATCCATAGACCCAAATTACATTGCCAACCATCTCATATGTTTACCTCACGACCACCAACCATCTCCCCCACCACCTTAGCTCATTTGCCCACATCTTCCTTTCTTGTTGATGGCCCGTCAACACCACCTCCAAAACCATCATTGAGATTCATCCCTCTATCATTTATCTTTCACGCGTTCCCTTATCTCCTCCGACCACTATTTTCTTTTGTCTCACTTCAAGAGCGAGTACAACATTAGCTACATCTACCTCCTTTGACATTGTCACATCTACTCATCCTTCTTTTTCCTTCCCATTCTAATTTAGGGTTAGCTTTAGCTTGGGAATCAGATATTGTTTATGCTTTGAATTTTCAGTAATAGGCTTGAATTTGGTTTTGACTTTTCAAAGGTTTTAATTTGGTTTCGATTTTAGGTTAGATATCTAATTGTTGGTTGTTTGGGGTCCATATTATAATGTTTAATGCCCAAAATATAATAATAATAATAATAATAATAATAATAATAATAATAATAAAGTAAAAATGAGGATAATATGGTCATTTACAAACAACAAGAAAGAGTCACATCAAATTTTGAATACTTGGACCAAAATTGTACATTGGTGCCAACCACATGGATCAAATCTTTAATTTTTGTTCTATATCATGACAATTTTTAGACTAAATTTAATGGTCCAAGTGGTTTTCCAAAGGTATCAACTTTAGGATAATGCTAGACAAAACAAGCCAATCCTTGTAGCTAACTCTGTTAAAAATTAAATTCAGACGTTAGGGATGATGAACATGATCAAAATACCTCTTCCTTAAAATAACTTGAGAAAAATGTGTTGGTGAAATATTCGAATGGAAACAAAAGACAAAGAACCTAACATTCACAGTCATGGTAACACTTCTATATGTGAGACGATTCTAGGACAATCAAACCTATATATGTACGTCAACTCTACACCTGATGCAAATGAAAGCACCATCCTCAAAGCCACTTTCATTTCCTCACGACTAATCCACATTCAAGAACCCTCTTCGCGGGTTTCGAGACCAACACAGTTTTCCACATTCAACTCCTTCATTAAATAAAGAACTAAAATAATTATGAGATTTCCTCTTGCATCCTCATCCTTCACTAAAGCTCGACTCTTGGCGTCCTTAATAAACCTAACGATTTCTCTGTCCCTTTGTCTTTAGCTAGTTTGTAAATTCCATTCTCCCTTTCCTACGATAAGTTTCCTTTTAAATACGAAACCAATCAAAATCTAAAACATAAAATATGTTTGATTTCTAAATCTTATTAGGTTGCATCATAACAAACTAAGAATATAAAGTCAACACTCGAATACATTTCATTCAAATTATCCAACTCTATTTCAAAAATCACAACTAGTCCCGTTTGGTGAAACTTTGGTTTAGTGACATCTCAATTTCTTCAAGAGACCTTCCTTTAGTTTCAACCAAGAAAGAGTAAGAAAACAACGCTGCCAATAACGACACCACACCAAAGCTCCCATAAACCGGCGCCACACCGAATCTCTCTGTCGCCTCCAGGAAGAATAGTCCAACAAAGAAATTACACACCTGAATCAAAATACACAAAATAATATTAAAAAATCAACAACCACTAATAAAAAAAGTAAAAAAAAAAAATCATACCCAGTGAACAGAAAAACTGAAGCTCATAATCTTTCCACGTGTCCTGCTGCTGCTAAGCTCAGGTATAATAAGACCCGTTACTGGACCAGCTCCGATTGCAAAAGTCAATATGTACCTTAATATTAAATAAAAAATTAATATAAAATCTTTAATAATATTAAAGATTGTATAATAGTAATAACACTATTCTTACAAGATGGTCCCGAAAATTGACAAGTTGTTACGAAGCTCTTCATCTAAAGGAAAGCCGATACCAGAGGCAACAACAAACATTGATATTGCCTGTAATAAGAATATGTAATAATTTAATTACATTATATATATATATATATATATATATATATATATATATATATATATATATATATATATATATATATATATATATATATTCCAGACTAAACTAAACTCCCTATGTGATTAGGGGCTAAAATGATTGATTTACATGAAGAAGTAGTAAGATCTTACCATTCCAAGATAACTTCCAATTATAAGCTTCTGCCTCCCTTGTTTATCAACTAAATACAAAGCACAAAGTGCACCTGTAATTATTTTAAAAAAAAAAAAAAAAAAAAAAAAAATTTAGTGGCATATGGATTCATGCATGAGGAGACCAGAATGTAAATAAATAACACCACATTTAAAACCTGCAAAGTTGGTTAATCCAACATATAAGCTTGCCAATGCACCATTTGAGATTCCAGCATCTTTGAAAGTCAAAGATGAAAAATAAAGAACAGCATTAATGCCAGCAAACTGTTGAAGTACAAAAAGACTGCCTCCAATCAATGCCACTACAAAATTAAAACAATGAAAATTTGTAATTCATTCAAAATTTTACATACAAAATACAACACAAAATATTAATAATACTACCTTTAGAATGTGGCTCTTCTAGAAGTTCAGACCATCTGCTGTCCAAATCACCACCATCATTTTTAAGAACAGACTGAAATTCTTCAATGCTTTTATCAACTTCGGATGGGCCCCACAAGTTAAAGATAACTTCTTTAGCTTCATCAAGCCTCCCAGCCTTCACAATCAATCAATACAATCTTCTGAAATCATTTTTTTTTCATTGTAAGCTTATTTTTTACTTGGTAACAGAATTGTGCCCTTTTTTTCAAGAACTTGTGAGTGAATTTATTTGGGAGTTAAGTTTGAGAAAATCCCAAATGGGCCCTACTTTGCATAGCCAACGGGGGCTCTCTACAGCAAACTGCATACCAAGTGCTAGAATAAAACCAGGTACACTTGCTATATACAGCATTGTTCTCCACCTGTCAAAAGTTCACTAAATGGTGATAAAAATAAATGACCATTTTTTTTTAACTAAAAATATAATTCAAAGAGTTTTACCAATGAGGATCACTGTCTGAGAAAATTCCAAGAGAGAGGGAGGCGATAATTCCAGTACACGTGCCAATTTGGCACACACTCCCCAATGTACCCCTGTATTTTGTTGGAGCTACCTGGAAAAAGATGATGATGACTTTATAAGGATTTGCTTCCATAATGTAATGAGAATATGAGATGCTGCAACTTTATGAACTCTATATTCTTTAATGTAAGATTGTGTTATTTCTAGTTTTGAAACGTTGAGCTTCTAATCAGTCTAAGTTCTTATATATCTGGGAAAGATTTAAGGACAATTCATTCAACAGAAAATTACCAAGAAGTCTCAGAATGGAATATACCTCTGATATATAAATAGGGACAAGAACTGCATTTGCTCCTATACCAAGACCCACAAAAAATCGTCCCCATAATAATTGATCCAAAGAGTGGGCTTGTGCACTGTGAAAACAGTAAAGATTCTATGTGTCAAAAGTGTTAACAATTTGTAAATTCTTGTATAGACTTTAGAGTTTAGACATAGGACTTGACATATCACTAAAATTGTGAAAGGAAAGTTATATGAATTCAAACAAAAAATACCTTAAAATGGCACCAAGAATCAGAGGTATTGTGTCGACCTGAAGGGTT